ACCACTAAAGTTATTGTCAATATGATTTGTATCATTTGGAAGGGTATCAACAGAAGAGCGTATGAAAGATTTATTAAGAGTGTCAACATTAAGAGATGGAACAGAAATACATCGCTTACCGTTAGTAATTTCTTTGAAAAGTTTCCATAAATTAGAAGGGGTTTTACATGACAAAAATCTTTGATTATATAAAACACTTAGTCTTTTTATTTCCAGTTTTATCAGCATGTTTAACTTTTTTACACCAGGCTTATCATTAGTTTTGAACAACAGTTCTTTATTTCTACGTAGCTTTTTGAGATATGGCGAAGATAAGCGATCAAATCGGATGAATAATGTTTCTTTAGGACAACATATTTCATAACAGAATTTAAGATAATCAGTAGTGTTTGTGATTGTTTCATCTAATGTTTGTTCTGTAAATAAGTCCCAGTTAGTGTCTTTCAACATGCATCTGAGCTTGTCTAGGTTGTCTTTCGAGTAGCATCTCCGTTGAACTTTACTGTAGAGGTGAGAGAGGACACCTTTGTGTGATTTGGAATATATTTTAGGCAGCACACGTATGATGCAGTGGTCAGAATTAAGTAGAGGAGCACGTTTGCGAGCTTCATATATACCAACATCATTGATAAATACCAGGTCCAATTTTTTACCAAGACGGGTGGCAAAGTTGACAATATTGTCATGACCAAGTGATATAAGGAAGGAGTGATCGCATGAATTAAAATCACCTGTTACTATTGATAAAGAGTTCTCGAAGCAAGCTGCAGCAAAAGCGGTGAATTCATCGGCGAACATAGATAAATCCAATATGGTACAGCCAGGAGAGACATAAACATTAGAAATATAAATGAATTTGTATTTTGAAATGTGTTTCGGGCGACATCTCACAGTGATGCAATCAATGAAGTCATTCGAGAATTTGAAACAAACTTTGTTTGAAATGGACCATTTTGAGTGAATAAAAGTTGCAACACCTCCACCACACTTTTTCTTGGAACAAATACGGTCTTGTCGAAAAACATTGAAATTGTTTAGAGACACAATATTGTCATCGTATGAGTCATGGAGCCAGGTTTCTTGCAGAGTGACTATACCAGTATTGTGGTAGGTACTAGAAGACAACAGAGACTGAAAATCCAGAATTTTGTTAGGCAGGGACCGGCAGTTGGTACTAATGATAACTGGAACAGTGGTGTGATGTATGGGTGTAGATTTTAAGGCACGCTGCCAACCTCCATGGTGCTTTTTCTTGAGTTTATTGCAAATATGAAAGTTTTTGGGTTTAAAACGTTTTATAAAATCCCGAGGGTAGATAATACGATTAGAATGCATAATGTGATATGTAAATACCAATAAAATACGAGTAAATAGATGCAAAATGTACATGGAATGTGGTAGCCCAAAAATATTCAAACAGGCCGCCAAGGTCATTCGATATAAATGCCTTCCCTCTGTTCAGGCACGCGGTGGACGGCAGATCTGTAAACCTGCCCTCTATGTTCATTTCATTGACTGACATAAAAAGTACGTTAACCTTATTTAGACATTCTTCTCAGTATGATAATAATAATAATAATAATATAATCACTTTATTCACTTTATTGCTGTTGACATTCATTTCATTGTCACTATATATATATATACTAATATTATCACTAATTGTTTGTTGTTTGTTAACTGTACTGCAAGCGTACGCATTCACCAAGGATATATATATTCCCTTATATATGAATTTCTCAAATGCTAACGACCACGTCATTGTTTATTATGTGCATAAATTTTATGTTTAAAATTATAACAAGTTTTAATTTCCTTTTATTCCTGGATCATGCCTGCATGTGCTAATCTTTATATGACACGGATGCACTCCATACATTCTGATCTAACTTCGTACCCTCATTATTGTTACTGTTATTTTTTGTTACCCTTATTGGTCACATTGCCAATTATTTATATTGCATTTATCCATGAATTTATCCACGATGAAAGTACTGATGGTCCTCAGGACCTCGAAGAGGGGGAGTCGTGTGGAGTCCTCAAAAATAAACTTATCCAATTTTTACTGCTATTTTAGAAATGAACATATTGTACATTACTTTGTTTTAATCAGGAGCTCTGTCCTTTGAACATCGTGGTTCGAATGAAAGTGTAATGCAATGGAAACCGATACAATGCCACTAAACAAGTTTCTTTTTCTTCTTTTTCAGAAAGAAACGGTGATGTGGCATCATTGGAGCAAGAGGAGGACCAGTTATCAAAGCTTGTTATAAATGATGATAACTAACTTGTACCCGGGTAATTTGAGTCCGGCTTCCTTTGAATAAACGCTTCCTCCGTACCGTCTTTGCCTTCTTCTCCACCCGTCGTGCTTGTGGTCTGTGTGCCTTACAAAAGTATAGTTCTACAACAACTCTACAACTCTTCGTCTTCTCCACCATCTCAACTGCCGTCGGCCGACTCTTATTACCTACCTTCTATTCCAAAATTTCTCAGGGACGCCGTATTTTCTCCCTACGTTACCTTGGTCGATCTCTGGCAACATCGATATTGGAGAATTCAGATTGGAGCAGTCTTCTCACAATACTTCTGGAGTCTACTACGTTAATTGTGGATTTGGACCCTGTGACAACCCAAGTAACAAACTCTGATATGTTCTTCCAGTAACTTTACTCATTTGGTATTTTTATTTTGTTTGAATTTGGAATACTAAGCTATCAGAGCCTAAGGTTCTCCACATTTAGTCCACCCGTATCGTCGTAAAAAGAAGAGATAATATTAATAATAATATCAGATATAATTATTGAAGTTATTCAGATTGACAGACAGAAAAAGAAATAAGAAAACGTAACAACAGTCAGCTGATTAAATTTAAAGGATAATATGAATTTTATATACATATATATACGTATGCATCGGTAATAATAATAATAATAGCTGTAGTTAAAGTTGTCAGGAGAATAACGCGGGAGAGAATGCAAAGAAGTAAAACGACAAGTTTAATTGCCTACCCCTGAATGGTGTATGCGATTTTAAGGGGATAGACCATTTGGATGCAGTCTTTGGTTGTGGTTGTCCAGTCATCGCTTAAAGGCGTCAACAGACGGTGCCACAGCTACATCGGCCGGTAAGGAATTCCAGGGTCGGCAAATCCGCAGTGAAAAGAAGTGGGAGCGCACCTGGGTCCTTGGCCCCTGGTGAGCTATCCTTCTAGGATTTCCACGAGGGAGCCTGTACCTACTCAATGACAGAACACCTTTGTTTGGGTGATTCCGGTCATTTGTTGTTTTGTAGACAGTAATTAAATCATCCCCCCCCCCACCTAAGACGTCGGTGGCTAAGTGTGAATAGGCCTAATTCCTTCAGCCTTTCATCATATGGTTTATTTCGGAGACCAACCACTTCTTTTGTTGTCCGTCGTTGGACTCTTCCTAAGAGGTTGGCGTCTCTTCTAAGCAGTGGGGGTGCAATAATATTATGCACTTCAAGGTGTGGTCTGACGTATGTTTAGTACAACCCTAGAAAGAGCTCAGGAGTGAGTTCACCTAACTGTCTACGTGTAAAGTGTATGACCACATATGCCCTCGCTGTCAGTACTGAAGATCTCTTATATATGCCATGTGATGAATGTGATTTAGTTAATACCGCTGTACGTGTTGCTTCTTTTGCTTTTGAATACTTGGGTAAAACAATCCATTTATAGGTATCCGATAGAATTAATTTGTTAGATAAATTAACAGCTACATCTTTAATACGACCTGAATCTAATGATGTCTGGTCTGTGCTGCTGGTAACAGCAACTTCATATAAAGATTGTCCGATAATTAAAGCTTGCTCAATTAATTTTAAACGATCCGTTAAAAAGGCATGAGATTCAGTATCTCCTGAGGGAGTACGTACAGGTGTACAGTTGTTAATTCAGAATTCATAAGTCTATTCACAGTGTCTACTACACCAGACACTCCAAATTTTAATATAACGAAACGTGGATCAGCCAGTATATCATCCCAATTGGCATATAAATGAACAAGTATACCAGCAAGCAACCAATAATCATGACGTGAATTGCCAAATTCCTTGAGTCTTTAGTATCATTTCAGAGTCTCCAGCCATCTGTGATTGGGAGCAAATTGTTTGACAGATATTGTTGATTTGTGCACATTCATCATTCCACATAGAACGCAACGCAATAATGATAAGCCAACTTCATTTATGTTAAATTTAAATTCAGAATACTCATCATCAATAGCAATACTTCTTGCATCGTTTATATCTATATATTCTAACACTTTGTTTCTAATAAGAGCCAGCATTGCAATACGTGATAGCACAGCAGGAACGCACAGGTGTTCTTTAGGTAAACCATCGGACCATGTTTCTTTCGAATAATCTAAAGCACATCGGTCGTCACACCACATAGATGCTTCATGTATAAGTCGACATAACCAAACAGATGAAGGTGAGATTTACGATATAAAGCTGATGGAAGCCAATTTTGGGGCGGAATAATACCAGGTTGTAGGAGACCGAATTTCATAACTGCATCATTAAACAATTGACGATCGCTGGGTTCAAAGTTGTATATAAATAACTCCCCTTGGTGCCATTTTACATAATCACCCAAATCACGAACCCTCGCTCTCCATTTATTGTATGTTTCAGCTGTAGGTTGCTAACATTGTGGTTTCAACAAATCCACACCGAAATTACCACTTCTGTTATGTATAGGGGATGTACGAGCAGGAAATGACGCCTGTGTCCATTTCCTGCTCGTACATCCCCTATACATAACAGAAGTGGTAATTTCGGTGTGGATTTGTTGAAACCACAATGTTAGCAACCTACAGCTGAAACATACAATAAATTGAGAGCGAGGGTTCGTGATTTGGGTGATTATGTAAAATGGCACCAAGAGTTATTTATATACAACTTTGAACCCAGCGATCGTCAATTGTTTAATGATGCAGTTATGAAATTCGGTCTCCTACAACCTGGTATTATTCCGCCCCAAAATTGGCTTCCATCAGCTTTATATCGTAAATCTCACCTTCATCTGTTTGGTTATGTCGACTTATACATGAAGCATCTATGTGGTGTGACGACCGATGTGCTTTAGATTATTCGAAAGAAACATGGTCCGATGGTTTACCTAAAGAACACCTGTGCGTTCCTGCTGTGCTATCACGTATTGCAATGCTGGCTCTTATTAGAAACAAAGTGTTAGAATATATAGATATAAACGATGCAAGAAGTATTGCTATTGATGATGAGTATTCTGAATTTAAATTTAACATAAATGAAGTTGGCTTATCATTATTGCGTTGCGTTCTATGTGGAATGATGAATGTGCACAAATCAACAATATCTGTCAAACAATTTGCTCCCAATCACAGATGGCTGGAGACTCTGAAATGATACTAAAGACTCAAGGAATTTGGCAATTCACGTCATGATTATTGGTTGCTTGCTGGTATACTTGTTCATTTATATGCCAATTGGGATGATATACTGGCTGATCCACGTTTCGTTATATTAAAATTTGGAGTGTCTGGTGTAGTAGACACTGTGAATAGACTTATGAATTCTGAATTAACAACTGTACACCTGTACGTACTCCCTCAGGAGATACTGAATCTCATGCCTTTTTAACGGATCGTTTAAAATTAATTGAGCAAGCTTTAATTATCGGACAATCTTTATATGAAGTTGCTGTTACCAGCAGCACAGACCAGACATCATTAGATTCAGGTCGTATTAAAGATGTAGCTGTTAATTTATCTAACAAATTAATTCTATCGGATACCTATAAATGGATTGTTTTACCCAAGTATTCAAAAGCAAAAGAAGCAACACGTACAGCGGTATTAACTAAATCACATTCATCACATGGCATATATAAGAGATCTTCAGTACTGACAGCGAGGGCATATGTGGTCATACACTTTACACGTAGACAGTTAGGTGAACTCACTCCTGAGCTCTTTCTAGGGTTGTACTAAACATACGTCAGACCACACCTTGAAGTGCATAATATTATTGCACCCCCACTGCTTAGAAGAGACGCCAACCTCTTAGGAAGAGTCCAACGACGGACAACAAAAGAAGTGGTTGGTCTCCGAAATAAACCATATGATGAAAGGCTGAAGGAATTAGGCCTATTCACACTTAGCCACCGACGTCTTAGGTGGGGGGGGGGATGATTTAATTACTGTCTACAAAACAACAAATGACCGGAATCACCCAAACAAAGGTGTTCTGTCATTGAGTAGGTACAGGCTCCCTCGTGGAAATCCTAGAAGGATAGCTCACCAGGGGCCAAGGACCCAGGTGCGCTCCCACTTCTTTTCACTGCGGGTTTGCCGACCCTGGAATTCCTTACCGGCCGATGTAGCTGTGGCACCGTCTGTTGACACCTTTAAGCGATGACTGGACAACCACAACCAAAGACTGCATCCAAATGGTCTATCCCCTTAAAATCGCATACACCATTCAGGGGTAGGCAATTAAACTTGTCGTTTTACTTCTTTGCATTCTCTCCCGTCTTATTCTCCTGACAACTTTAACTACAGCTATTATTATTATTATTATTATTATTACCGATATATATAATTCATATTATCCTTTAAATTTAATCAGCTGACTGTTGTTACGTTTTCTTATTTCTTTTTCTGTCTGTCAATCTGAATAACTTCAATAATTATATCTGATATTATTATTAATATTATCTCTTTTCTTTTGATTAGGATATTGGAGCGCTAACTGGTGGAAGGATCAACTGCATTCACATTAGTAGCAGTCTTAACACACGTCAAACTAGAAACCGCATATAATTAATTCCAGGACTACTCCTTCTGGAGTCAACCAAAGCTACGACAGTCGAGTGGCGGGACGAGCTAATCAGAAGTTTACCGAAGAAGACCAGGAACCTATACCTCACAATCAAGAGGCGAGCACAAAGAAATCAAATTGGTTTATACTACCTCGCAAAACGATATTGGATATTGGATACCTGTGTAGGACACACCAATTGTACAGGTATGGATAAGTATTATTTAAATTACATAAATTTGGTTTATGGTTGAATTACATGGTTACTGACGTTTTTGTCTTTGGTTTGTGGGAAAAATATGATAACCAGTCATTTAATGGAGCACATCAAGAAATATAGAAATATTGTCTTCGCATTAACAAAAAACCCAAGTATGTTTTGGATGGACTAAAACACATGGGGAAAAAAATAAGGCTTGAAGTAATTCCCCTATTTAACTTTGGTGTGTACGGTATCGAGTCTTATTCTTGATTTATATCCAATTTTGGTAATAATTTAAAATAAGTGGTGTACTTGTATAGTTTTGTCAGCATTTTCATCGTAGCATCACGAATGAATTGTACTCAATGTAGAGTGATAATAATGATAGTATGTATTTTCTTATAAACGGGTGTTTTCAAGAAATGAAGCCATTTTTACAGATACGATCAGTTATGTTATAAGTTACATTCGTGAAGTTATATTATAAATTAATACTTTTTCATTGGTATAAAGGTATGTTCCACAACTGTAATCCAGGTTGCGTTGTGGGGGAAGGTAATGCGTAATTCACAAAGGAATTGTAAGATATGGGACGAATAATGTTCGCAGATTACTTGTCGTGGTAAATGGTCAAATATCCACATTCTTCATCCTCATTCAGAAAGTCAAATGGAAGCTAAAATGGTGAGACAAAACAGAAGACAAACAACAGCAACGTAAAAGAAAGCAAGAGGAGTCCTTAAGGAGTGAATAATAAATATATACATGCATATTCTGTTTAGTAACTATGGCTATTTTGGTACACTAGCTTACTAGTTCCGTTATGCTAACTTTTATATTATGTGTGAACTAATATTATCGTACTGTGTAGAAATGTTTATCATGTAGTTCCAATAGTATTAAAATTTATAATTGCAGTTTGTTGTAACTACACGTTTAGTGAAACTAAAATATCTGTGAAGGGTGAAAAAGAGGGTGTAAGAGTCAGACGTAGAAGTGCATTGTCATCTTTGGGCAGTCTGGTGACTGAGGAGATGAACACTGGAATTGTGTTTGCATCACGCACATCAGCTGGTGGTCTATTCCAAATGACTGAAAACTTATTTAAGAAGAAGTTGTACCGCATGTAAGTTTGACAATGCTCTATAGCAGCTAGGTTGTGATGATTTCTAAGATTGTAACTGATGACAGTGGTAGATTTAGTTATTGGCTCAGAGGAGTGCACGGAATAACTTCCCTGTAGATGTTCCAAGAAAACCTCCCCATCTCTCACTGAGTGACTCCATTGCAGACCAGGACGAAACTAGCTAGTGAATGGATTGATGACCCTGACAAATGTATTTACAGAAATTGGTTTAACATGACTATGAGGACCCCTATGAGAAGTTTGGAATTTTTTAAAACATGCAAGAATATTATCCAATGTAATAATTTTTTAACAATGCATTACTTGTACTTGGACGTTTATTTCAAACTGCACACTTCTACTTCTTACGCATCTGATTGGTCGCTAGAGGTGGCTTCGTTTTGGGCTGACACAGCTTAGAGTCACCCTGAATTTAAACAGAACTTGAGGCCACTTACGTACATATATCACATAATTCTTCAAGCTGTTGTTCCATAATAACTTAACATCCTTAAAAACCCCTATGTCATCATATGAGGATGTTGAATACTGTTCTGTACGAGCAGTATTTATGACTTAGATTGAATATGCAACTGAAGAACCACCACCCTTCCGGTCCAGTAAAACAAATCTGCCTGGTTATGATAGATATTCCTCTTCAATTCCTATCGACATTTTATTCCATCATGTGCCTCCATAGTTCATCCGGTTATCGACCTACCTAGATACCACCGGAAGAAATTTCGGTGGTCTGAAGAAGCAAAAGCTGCATTTAGTAAAGGAAAAGATGCTTTATCCAACGTCGAAATGTTGTCTCACATCAATTCAGGAGCCCCACTCACTCTATACACAGATGCATCGCAGGTAGCAGTGGGAGCAGTTATACATTAAAGTTCAACAATGACATCACTCCACTTGCTTTCTTCTCCAAGAAGCTGGAACCTGCGCAAACTCGTTACAGTACCTTTGGCAGAGAACTGTTAGCTATTTATCTAGCCGTGAAACATTTCAGCTTCTTATTACAAGGTCGACAGTTTACTACCTTAACCGACCATAAGCCTCTTTGTTATGCTTTTGTCACTTCGCTGGACAAACAATCTTCAAGAGAAGCCAGACAACTGGATTACATATCACAGTTCTCAACAGACATCCAGTTTATCAAAGGAGATTCCAATATCGTAGCCGATTCTTTGTCTCGATGTGATGTTAATCATCCTTTGTTTTCGATAGGTATTAGCTTAGACAATGTAGCCAGGTTGCAGAAGAATGATGCCGAACTTCATTCTTGTAGACGAAAGTCCTCCTTACAGTTGCAGGATATACCCATTCCTCCGTCTGATACAACTATTGTCTGCGACGTTTCCACCGGCGTTCATCGACCTTTTGTTTCACTAAGTTGTCGAAAATCTTTGTTTGAACATCTACATTCTCTGTCTCATCCTAGAGTACGTGCTGCGGTTAAGTTAATCAGCGATCGTTTCGTTTGGCCCAGGATGAACTCCGATATTTGGAAATGGACACGCCAATGCTTGCAATGTCAAATATGCAAGGTACATCATCATACCGTCACACCTCCAAAGCAGTTCAATTTACCGGATAGACGATTCCAACACGTGCATATAGATATTGTTGGACCATTACCGCCATCCAGAGGGTTTACTCATATACTTACTGCTATTGATCGACTTACCCGATGGGCTATTGCTTGTCTGCTCAACGACATATCTGCAGAAAATACCGCTTTGGTTTTCCTAGATCGTTGGGTGCCAAACTATGGAGTACCAACAACGATTTCAACAGATCGAGGAGCCCAATTTCAATCAACTCTTTTTCGAGAGTTTATGAGACTCCTTGGGGTAAACCACATCTCCACTACAGCTTATCATCCTGCAGCGAATGGTCTAGTGGAACGTTTCCACCGACAACTGAAAAGCTCCTTAATGGCACAAGCTGACTCATCTAAGTGGAGTGAACACCTATCATTAGTTCTCCTCAGTATCCGGTCAACTGTCAAAGGAGATTTGGGATATACACCAGCTCGACTTGTGTATGGTACTACCCTCACATTGCCTGGTCAGTTATTTCCTTCTAATGATTAAACTGATGTAAATATCTCCGATTTTACCAGCCTCCTTACTCAGCAAATGCTTCAACTTCGACCAGTAGACACTGGCCAATCACTTCAAAAAGCTCAAGTTAACAGAAATCTACTCACATGCGAATTTGTATTTGTTCGCGTCGATGCCATTAGAAAAGGCTTACAACATCCATATGAAGGTCCTTTTCCAGTACTCAAACGCACTGATAAATACTTCACACTGGACAGAAATGGTAAGCAGGAGACTGTTTCTATAGACCGTCTTAAGCCAGCGCACACCGACAGCGAATATGAAGCAAAAGCAACGCCTGCACTGATAAGTATTGAGAAAGTCAATGCAACTTCAACACTTCCGCTCTTCGCACTTCCCTC